TGCTCAAACCAACAGGAGAGACAACAACGACCCTCTCCTGGCGAGGGTGGGGGAGCAAACCTGCCGTAGGTGAAGGTGGTGCTTGACCGCTCACCTAGGCCGTACCATTGAGCATACCCCCGTCACCACTTTGGTAGAAAAAAGCTCCCCCGCTCCCTTTTCGGGAGGAAGTCGGGACTCTATAGAGGTCTTCCGTGGACTCGCCCTGCACTCCTGACTTTCTCTCGACGTTAATCGCGCACTTACGAGGGCGTGTTTGCAGACATGTTTTTTAATCGTTCGGATTTTTGAACACAGGAAAGAACGCTCTCAGTCCGCCATCGCGGTTGTCCCGATGACGCGATTGAAGAGACCAGGTAGGATTGGACTGACCCCTTTACTACTTCGGTATTTTTCACTGACAAAGATGTACTTTAAGTGTGAAAAAGTCGAAACTGTTTGTTGAAGTAAAACCTACGTCGAGACAATCTGGTCCGCCTGTACAACAATAACTCCCACACTCTCTCTATGTTTTCTCTAGTTTCTTACAGCAGGTCTATTTGTTTTTGCTTTGCAAGTCTTTGAGGGAGTGTGCAGCACTAGTATCGGACCTTCTGACGTTCTCGCATAATGTTACGGTTTGCCGTACTGGTCCATAAGTATTCAAGGACTTCCCAACTAATTTGGGCAGAGCGTAAGTAAGCGGGAGGACTAGGACTGGTTACTATCCGCAATGCGTCCAGATTTGAACCACTTTGGATCGAAGACTGCCGACGAGCTTCGCCTGCTCTTACTCTTCCCTCCCCCATGGCCAAAATTGCATTACAGTTAACTCTCCACTCATCAGCTCATGTCCCGGATTCCTTGGGGTAGGGAAAAACGGGTGGCTTTATTTTGGGACGTGGCGGACCCCTACTCACATTAACTAGCCATCACTCCATAGGCAGCACAACAACTCCCTCGTAGTTAATCAGAAGTAACAGAACAGAAAGAGTACCAGTGACTTAACGTATTTCAGCTGGGTGACATCTTACCCTCTGGGCCGTAGTTTCAGTTATCGTGTCAGTATCCTCAGACCACTCCTCCTTCTTCGGTCTCGGGAAACCTGAATGAGTTTCGAAGTTGATTCCATCACCATCGTCCTTCCTTGACTTTTCATGTTATGCCTTCTATATAGAAAACCCTGACATAGACGGATTTTGTGACGGGTCACAATGTGAGGACAGTTTAGAGACCGAATGGACGAATTTGTCACTAGTTACGTTAAGAAGAGGGGTGGGAGGTGGGGAGGGTCTAACGGTAGATACACTCCCAATACTTCAAAGTTGGTCCCTTTGGGGTTTACGTCACCTACAAACCGACTCAATTTATTCACTTTTCTGTAACAGAGACCACCATAGTAGAAGAAGGTAGAATGAAGTTTCCAGACGCAAAGGCCACGCAGTGAAATTATTTTGTCGCGGCCGGGTACGCGTCTCTGGTAGGCGTTGTCGGCGCGTGTGGGCTGCGGCTAGGAAGATACTCTGCAGGAATTCACAACTGGTTAAAAGAGCAGCAGACCGAAAACGCCGACCAGCCCCTGTATACCAGCCAGGCCAAAAAGTCTGGCTCTCTACACGAGACCTTCCCCTCCACGTACTCTCCCGAAAACTGGCTCCCCGGTTTGTGGGTCCTTTTCCCATCACCAAGGTCATAAACCCAGTCTCAGTGAGACTACGGCTTCCCAGGGCCATGAAGGTACATCCCACCTTCCATGTAGGGAAATTAAAACCGTTGAAGGAGAGCGCTATGGTTCCCACCGTCAAACCCCCCCCGCCCCCCCGGATGATCGATGGAGGTCCGGTTTACACGGTCAAGTCACTATTGGCTAGTCGGAAAAGGGGTAGAGGGCGACAGTTACTGGTTGACTGGAAGGGTTATGGTCCTGAGGAGCGGCAATGGATTCCTTCCCGCTTCATCGTAGACAAAAACCTCATTGAGGATTTTGACCGCCTCAACTCAGAGGAGCCTGGGCCGTCAGGAGCCGTCCCTAGAAGGAGGGGTACTGTCATGTCCAAGAAACTTATAGTGAAAGTTTATTCTTTATGTTAGAATTGTCATGTCCCTTTGTCTTGTGCTTTATGTCTATGCCCTTAATTATTTCTTGCTCTCATTTCAGGCCTCCACGCTCCCCGCCCCTTTCTGTCTCCTGCGTCCTTGATTATTTTCCCCGCCCTGATTGTTTCAAACTGTGTCCCCTTTACTTACCTGTGTATATATTGTGTTAGCTCCCTCCTGTTAATTGTCAGTTCGTTGTCTCTCGAAGACCTACGTATCGGCTTACCTCACGGACCTTTCACGGACCTTTCACGGACCTATGCTATAGTATAGATCACGATTCTAGTTTTCCTCGAAAGAGTGTTTTGTTTTCCTTATTTTATTACTGTGCAAAATTCCAGTAAAGTCTTTATTTTGAAACGCTATCTGAGTCTGAGTTTTGAGTCGTGCAATTGAGTTCATGCCTCAGTGTTCACCCCTTGACAAAAACGGAAGTTTGTTCCAATACGAAGATTGTGACTATCTGAAAAGTGTCCTTAAAACGAGCCTCCTCGCAATTATATGCACATTATTTATTCAGCCGTTTGCTGTTTAATATGACGGGAAATATATCATTCAAAAGAAAGAAAGAAGCTTATTAAACTAGACGAACGCGCAACACAGGCGATGACGTCACGTTTGCGCGTCCCGCGAACAGGGCTTCAGTCTACGGCAGGGCTTCAATCTACGGCATAACACCGGCCGTCAGAACGGACAATCAAGGAGATCTGAAACTCCTCATCTCTCTATCTCTGGCTCCTTCCAGCTCCTTCGGCACAATTAGAAGCACTCAGCACTGGGTATGATCTTACTGTACACGTATACTCAGATTTGGACCTCGGTTGTGGACGGTGTGGTGTTTGTCGCTGTTTTCTGATCGTCGTGAATAGCTCTTTCAGACAAGAGCATACAGTTGTTGTTTTTTACCATATCATAGATGATCTTTTAATCTCTGGCCACAGACTTTTGAATTACTTCATTACCCGGGTGGTCCAGCCCAACTCACATTAAAACCTTCAAGCACAAGACTGAAGACGGACTGTTGGCCCTGCAGAGAGACTTTAATGTAACTGAGAGTGACTCTACGGAATAACAAACTGTACATTTTCTATGGGTTTATTTTTTTTTACATGTGTGTATACGGTAAATGATTGTTCGATGAAGTCCCTGTTTTATTTTGCTGATGATGATCAATGAAACTCCTCCCACTTTCCTCGTTGCAAAGCATATTTAAAAGCATGCTTTCAGAAAAAAAGCAACCCGTTCTTTGCATCACAATTAAAACAAATAACGGGTTTTCCTTCAAATGTAGTGCCAAATGATAACAGCTTTCTTATCCATGTCACCCCAAACTAAAATATGTGCTGTTGTCTTACAAGATGAGACAAACTGGGCCCCTGGAAATCTGTTTTTAAATCTCAGTTTCTCAGATGGAAAAACCAAAACTAGATGCTAATAATGAAACTAATGCTAAGCTAATCAGATTTAATCACATAAGACTTGCACTTTCATAAAGGAATAATTCTAAAAAGAAAGGTGAAGCTGCAGATATGTTGTTTCTCCTTCATGTGTGTTTGTCTGTCTCCATTAGTTATATCTGGGTCACGCTCAAAAACATTTCCCATGATGCAACACTTTTATTAAAACGTTTGTGTCTGGTAAATAACCACATCTTCCACACTCCACAGCCCCAGTTGGGGAGATCCCAAAAGAGCAGACGTAAATTAACAGATACATATGTTGTTGTAATAGTCAACCCTATTTCTACTAGTAGAGAAGCAGATTACAAATGTTTTTAGGGCCATTAAAGCACATTTAACCTACTGTCCATTCATATGCAACTAACTACAATCACTAAGAGTAAAACAGGTATAGCAACATTTTTACCTTCTGTACCATGTGTCAGTTTTTTCAGTTGTGCCATGTCTTGATTTACATATGCATTTTTAAATGTATCTTTGCGTTGATAAATATATATTATATATTAAATTGTTTACTTTTCTTTACATTAAGTATTTGTATTGTGTACGGATTAGTCATAATTAACACCTCATGTTTTTTGTACAGATGCACAGTTCACTGTACAGGCTTCAGGAAAAAACCAACATACTGTAAGTCTCAATATGATGCCTTTAGGATTTCCCTCCCTCATTCAGAGATCATTACTGGCCTGGGTGTCTATTTTGTTCTTTATAACACTCCTCATTAATATATGTCTGCCTTAATAACTGCCTTTTTTTTTACTATCACACTCACATATTGAACAGTCATCTACTGTACCTGTACATACTTCGTTTCTAAAGGTGTGTTTGTAGGTCAGGTGTGTTGCCTGGATGGTGTCATGGCGGTGAGACTGTTGTAGATCTGTCTCTCTGAGAGGGGAACTCTCCCAGTGCAGTAGGGTGTTCAGGGCAGAGTCCACAGTGTGACTGCATTATGCATGTACTACGGTGTAGCTTGTACCCTCAGTCTGTATTACCTTTAAAATGTACCTCCCTGCAAAGAGTGCAACAAATTATGACTACAACAATAAACTGTAATGCAATACCTGATCATGAATCTTCTTTGTTCTGGATTAAAACCGATTTAAACACACCAGTATGAAAAAACATAGGTATTTATTTGTTTTTTATCATAATTTCATAAAATGCTGGGGCATATATTGTATTACCTAATCTTTATTCAAAAAGTGTTGATTTATCCAAATGCTGATAAAAAGAAAAGGAAAAACGACAAAACCCAAACAATGAATCAATTCACATGACTAGTGACCACTACATGTTAGTGAGAAAATACCCTTTTTGTAATTAGGATTAAGTCACCCTGACACACAGATTGTGTTACCCATGTATTACATGTTTAGTTTCAACAATAAGTCAAAGTAAGTAAAAAAACAATATCTCTCTGATCCTGTTTATGCCTTCCTGTCCTCCTGTCCCATGTAGGTTATCCAAGCACGGCTCTTTAAAGTCTCACGAGGAACTGGAGCTGCCCTCAAAGCTGACGGAGGACTGGGCCACCATGGAGGTGTGTGTGGACTGCATCAAGTTCATCACTGACATTATCGCCTCCAGCAAGCACAGCCTGTCCCTGGCCACCAAGAGAGCGCGCCTAAAACGCAAGACCCAGTCCTTCTACATGTCCTCCCCTAAAGGACGGGAGGAGTACCGGTGTTATGCCGCAGATTGAAGCCAATTGCCGTAGATTGAAGCCCTGTTCGCGGGGACGCGCAAAGGTGACGTCATCGCCTGTA